GGCTGTTGGGGCCCGCTGGCCTCGCGGGGTGGCCTGCTCCCGATGGCGGCAGGAAGGGAACCGGCCCCGCCTCTGACGTGGGCCTCCCTCCAGGCACTGGCCTGGCACTTGGTCCACGAGCAGATCCCGCTGAGCGTGGACCTGCAGGCAGGCCTGGACTGCTGCTGCCTGGCCCTGCAGCTGCCCGGCCCGCGGCGCCTGCTGGCCTCCCCCGAGATGGTGACCCGCACCTGCTCCCTCATCCACTGCGTCCGCCTCCTCCTGGAAGCCAGTGAGTGTCGCTCCCTGGGCTCTGTCCTTGCACACCTGTACCAGGAGTCACACACACACACACACACACACACACACACACACACCGATCTCACAGGCGTTTATCTTGTGCCGCCGAGTCAGGAAGTGGGGGGAAGAGATGGACAACCAGGGACCTTACTTAGTCGTCTCTAGGACTGAACTTGAGCTTGCTCTTGTGGTCACTTCGGTTAGGTTTCGAGCTCCAGCTCTCATATCTCTGTGGCTGGCCCAAGCGGACTGCCGTGCTTTAGTGCTAAGGGGTGTAGATGAGCACGCCTGCCTTTGAGGGGGACTCGCTGACCCTGAGCGTCCACGTGCTAGTTTCTGTGCTGCATTGGGACACTAGCCGCTGTCAAGGGAAAATGAGTTATTCTTTTCAAGGGAAGTGTCCTCAACAAGGGTCAGTAGCCAAAATCTTTAATAAATTGGACGGTCTAGCTTTACATGTTGGAGGGTGTTTTGAAGTTTTGTGTTTTTAAATGGAACATTATAGAGTGGCGTTTTGAAGTTTCATTGTTTAAATTGCTTTCATCTGTGCATTTGTCCTCAACTTGAACATGAAGATCCAGGGAGCAGTTTCTGAAGCCAGGCTCTTGGGGCTGCAGCGTGCTTGGCAGCCCTGAACCCTGGGCCGCCTTGAGGCCTCCTGATGGGGTGGGGCAGCGGCAGCAGACGTGGGGGCGGGGGCGGGGAAGTCGGAGCCCAGGAGCCCGTCCACCGGCGCTGCAGGTTGGCTGAGACCTTGGTGCCGAGGTCTGGTGTCGCCTGGAACTGTCTAAGCCGGTTCCGGGATGTCTAGACCTTGTGTGGCGTCGGCTGCCCTTGGCGTGGGAGGCTGCATAACTGAAATGGGAATGACGGGGTGGGCGGTGTGAGCAGTCCTCCTGTGTGTCCTTTCCTGATGCAGTTGTGGTGCAGCCCGGGGACCAGCTGCTCAGTCTAGAGAGAAAGACAGACACCCCGAAGGCGGCCAGAGAGGACGGAGGAGACCCACGCACACAGAGTGAGTGTCAGGACCTGTTTGGGGCTTGGACTTCACTAGCAGGAGAGACATGTGAAGTGGTCAGCGTGGGCCCCAGGAGGTGAACTCAGCTGGTCCCATTGCTCACCCCGACACTGAAAGGCAATGTGGGCCCCGGCCAGTGTGGCTCAGTGGATAGAGCGTCGGCCTGCAGACTAAAGGGTTCGATTCCAGCCAAGGGCACATGTCTGGGTTGCGGGCTCCATCCCCAGTAGGGGGCGTGCAGGAGGAAGCTGATCAGTGATTCTCTGCCATCACTGATGTTTCTGTCTCTCCCTCTCCCTTCTTCTCTGAAACCAAGAAAAAATATATTTTAAAAAAATTAATAAATAAAGGCGATTGGGGACATTGACCTGCACGTTACCCTTCCTCCACCTGCATGTCTTCCCCGCCTCGGGCTCTCTGTGGCTGGCCTCCCGCTCGGGGATGGCACACTCCCAGGAGGCCCTCCTCTCCTCCTGCCCCTCCCTCCTGTCCTCCCTCCCTCCATCCAGCCTCTCCTTCCTCCCCTCCCTCCATCCTCCCCTCCATCAATCCTCCCCATATCCCCTGCTCCAACCAACCTCCCCTCCATCCTCTCCT